TGTTTTTGTGATGTTACCAGCCTTTGACAATCGGCATCTAGATGCATTAATTCATTATGGTTTGTAAAATGGTAACACTTTTTTTTTAAAGAAAATCATTCCTCATTTTGCATAGAGTTATTCAATGGTATGCTTCCTATATAGGAAATGTGTGATTCTTTCTCTTAGTTTACCAGTTTTCAAAATGATGAGTTATATCTCTAGCATCTTCCAACAGTGAACAAATCCTTTTTTTTCCTTAAATATCGTAATGAGCTGATGGAATTAGACATATCTGATGTGTTTCAGTCCTTCGAAGTTATTGTTGTTACTGACATACTGACATGTTCCACCTTTAAGTTCACCTCAAGTTCTTTCGACATGACCTCCCCTGCTGTCTTCTTTGATAAGACACTCCAGGTTCATTTTGTATATTTTTTCTCCATGCCTGAATTAATCCATTTCTCCAAGCAGCTCAGGTTCTGTTATTTGAAATGGTCTTTGGAAATCACAATCTAGATTCTCATATTGTTTTTGCAGTTGATTAGTATTGTGACTAGACTTTTCAGTGGACAGAGCTAGAATTAAAATACATTGTTACTTCATACTAGTACTTGCAGTTCAAATTCAGGGCAGCATTCTGTGAGATTCCACGTTCTATGTCCTTTTCCCATGCTGAGAATCCTGACTTGGCAGTCTTTCTGTCAGCGTCTCTACTGCCATTTTATTTATCTTTTTGAAGCTCATCCTCCAGTAGATTTCTTGATAATGGGTTGGTCATAAGAACAATATTCCTTGAGTTCTTTCTTACTGAAAACAGTTTTCCTGTGTCCTTTATATTCATGGACAGTCAGTTTGGTTGGATATTAAATACTCGGCTCACACTTTCTGTCTTTAGTGTCTTAAATATGTCACTCTGTCGTCTTCTGATGTAGAGTGTTGAGGTGTATATGGATGATGAGACCAGGTAGGTCTCAAACTCCTGGCCTGAAGCCATCCTCCCGCCTCAGTCTCCCAAGTAGCTGGGACTACAGGCATGAGCCACAACACCTGGCTTACAGTTGCTTGTGTTGGATGCCTACATCATTGATTTTATACCTTTCTTTTTAATACAGGCATTTTAAAGCTCCAAATTTCTAAGTACTGTGTTATCAGCATCCCACACATTTTGATATTTCATGTCTTCATTTTTATTTAGTTTGAAATATTTTCTTATTTCTTTTAGGATTTCTTTTTTGACCCATGGGTTATTTATCATAGTTTTACTTCATTTCCAAATTGGAGATTTCCTAGATATTATTTTTGTTCTTTCATAATTTAATATCACTATGCTCAGGAAACATACTCGGGATAATTTCAGCCCTTTGAAATTTATTGAGATTTGTTTTATGACTTAGCATATGGTCTATGTTGATGAATATTTCATGTGCTCTTGTATATTCTACCCTTGATTGTTCTGTGATGCTAATTAGGTCAATTTGTTGACAATATTCAAATATTCTATATATTTAGTGATAATTTTATCTAGTTCTCTCAATTACTGTGAAAGAGGTATTAAAATATCCAATTTGATTGTGTTTTTGTCACTTTTCCTTTTAGTTCTGCATTTTTTGCTTCATAAATTTTGAAACTTCATTAGGTACATATACATTTAGGATTATTATGTCTTCTTGATGATTTTGATATTTTATCATTGTGAAATGACACTCCGGTGATGTTCTTTGTCTTGAAGTCTATGCTAATAATAAATAGAACCATGACAACTTTGCTACAATTACAGTTTGATGGCATATTCTTTTTCCATGGCAATATTCTTCTCATCCTCATTTTTACATGGAATTAGTTTTACTGACCTTTTCAGAGGGATAGATGCATGAGGATAATTTTTCTAGCTTCACTGATCTAAAGTTTTCTTTTTTGTTGCTTTTGCACAATGGTAAATGTATTTTACCTGCATTTTTTATTTCCTTTGTTCTTGAGTTTATCCTGCACAATTTGAATTCACTCTCAACATTTTTTCTCAATGCAGAGCTTTGCCCTAAAAGGGAGTTTCTCTTGGGGTAGTAACTAAGAGGTCAAATAGCCCAGACTACTCCCAGTCCTTTCAGAAGTTGCCAGCTCCTTTCTTCTCTTCCACATGTTAGAGTGTGTAAAACCGCTTCCAGTTTCAGCTGCAGTTCTCAGATTGGCCTTGACACTTTTCAGAAATACCTCTTTGTAATTTGAGGGTGCTTTTGCTTTTAGAGGAGTTCTCCTGTTGCTTCTCTCTGCTTTGATCCCATTGCAGAGAAGTATATTTGTATCATCTGATGTTTGTAGCAACAGAAGTGTGGTGCTAACCTTGTCCAGGAAGGGCCATTTAAGAATCCGGATCAGGAGGTTCTTGATTGTTCATTGGCCTCTGGAGTTGTCTCTTACTGTGATTACTGCATTTTCTTATGATATAACTCCACTTCTTTTTGTCACTTGCTTTTCATGTGCCAGGGTCATTTTGAGGGAGTCTCATAGAATACAGCCTGTGTAGTGAGGAAGGTCCCAGGTAAGATGCCTGTCCTCTTTAGTGATCCTGTATTGTTATATAGTGGATGGGACCCTCCTAGTTTCAGATTTAGATAAAGGAGGTAATTCAGAAAGGATGGAACCTATCCCGACCACCCACCACCCAAATGGGTATCTTTTGTATTATGTAAGTTTGAATTAGCTGAAGGCTACCTAATGCTGGGCAGGATTACATAACCGAAAATGCCTCTAATATACGAGGTACCTTGATAAACTTATTGCCCTATTATTTGCTTGGTTATTTTTTGAAAGTGCTTTATTCTAGGGAGTGGGGTGATCGAGTGCAATTGAGACAGCATTCATGATCCTCAGATAATTCTTCTGCTACTAGGGAGGCTGAGGCAAGAAGATGGCTAGAAGCCAGGAGTCTGAGACCAACCTGGGCAATATAGACCTTGGTCTCTAAAAAAATAAATAAATAAATGTGAAACAAAATAAAAAACAAAAGTCAATAAATAAAATAAATTTGTGTAAAACATTCACAAACGCTTTGGAAATTCATTTTTCCCATTGGATTTCAAAACTGTTGTTTATGATAATCTCTATTTCAAAGATGAAAAGCCTGGTGCATGATGATATTAAATGGTTTGCTCATATAGCTAGTCACAGACTCAGGATTTGATGTCTTCTCATTCTAAATCCTATATTCTTTCCTTTATACCATGGAGCCTCATGTTAAAATTTTCAAAATGTTCTGAGACAGCTGAATGGATGACCCAGCTATTACAACTTAGCTATGGCTACCCAAACAGACTGGCTTGCTCAGTAACAACTTTATGAAGTATGAGGACCACAGAAATGATGAAAAAGAATAAATTGGTAGTCAAAGATTTGAGACCTAATTTTAGCCTAACAGGTCTCAAATACTGTTTAGACATATAAGGAAAATAACCAGTTTTCCCAGGAGGGATCTATGTGTGTACTTTATCAGTTTTAACAAAATGTGATCCAGATATGTCTTTGACTACTTGTGCTCCCTGCCATCGACTCTCCGGGCAGTCCTAACACCATCCACACATTCTGCCAAACGCATTCTAATGTCATTATCATAGCTTGTGGCAGCCAAATTCTCACATACCATATCCACTTCACAGCCTGACTCTTTCTCCAGATTAATTGACTATACTGTGTCATTTCTCCAAGGAGGCTAACTAGGGAAAAAAATATAATTCCTGAAATCCACACATTTGGTTAAATCAGCTTTGTCATCTTTCCCTGGAACCTAAAAGCTGGTATCTCTGAGAATTTTGCTGTTCAGAAACAGGCGTAAGGCAAGTTTCAAAACAAAGCAGGTTAGTCACACATTGGTAACCCGTCATCAGGGGTAGCTGTGAATGTTTTTATGTGTGATTCTCAGTCTCCTTTAATTTCTGAGCAAACTCACCATAATGATGTCATTTTTTAACGCTCATATTATTTTTCATGGTAGGGATTTGAAATCAGCTACTAGACAAGCCAAATCCACACAGAGATACGTGTAAATTTGTGTGTTAGTGTGTGTAGGTATATACAAATATTTTTAGTCATTGGGCAAAATCAAGTTGCCTTAGAAATTTCTACTCCAGAATAAATCAAACTTGAGTTTTTGTGTAGCAGAAATAATGTTGGCCCTAGGCCAAAGTGAGGGGAAAAAAAAAAAAGACAAGGGGTATTTATTTGCACGCTACCCCTGTTTGCAGCATCTCTGACCTTGCTCTGACTTGTAGGCTAGGTTCCTTCACCATGGCATTATTTGCTGTATCGGTTGGGCTTCTTTTCAGGGACTAGAAGACTTTTGTTAAGTAAGAAACCTACCGTTTACTAGTTGTGTGTTCTTTGTTGAATAATCCTTTTGAAACTCTTCTGTGCTCCGTGCAGCTATGATATGAAGCAACCTCTTCTGGAGCCTGACTGTGAGCGGTCTACTGTCACAGTGCTGGCTGCCATATTGGTCTCTCCTCAGTGATGGCACCAAGCTCTCTGATTGGAGACTGTCAGTGTCTCCTGGGACTCTTACTTTTTACCTCCCAGCAATTTAGAAAGACTTATAGTATATATGTAATATAATATAAATATAGAATATGTATTAGTTTGGGGACACACAACTGATATTTCATTTGTTTAGAGTTTAGAAAAAAGTTTAGGCCCCCTACTTCCAATGTGTCCCATTTTGTTGACAGGTTCATTTCTGAAATATGTCAGACATATAGTGATTAATTTTGAAAATGGAATTGGACCAAGTGTAGTTATCAGTATAGAGGATTCTTGTCAGCTGCTACTACCTATATTCAAAACTCTCACATGAAACCATAAGAGAACTACTGTTGGTGCCTACAAAGTTTAAGCCCTCTCGATCATAATAATTGTGCATGAATGAAATCAGCATTTGGATGGAGAATATCCCATACTGGAAAATAATCATAGCTTTTATGTTTTTGTGTGTGTGTGTGTGTGTGTGTGTGTGTGTATGTGTGATTTGACAGCTTTTTGGAGACTGTAGCCTATTTCTTCATGAAACCAAAACTTGGAGAGAAGGAGGTGTCCCCAAATGTTTTCTTCAGTATCTGGCATGAATTCAGCTCTGACTTTAAAGACTTCTGGAAGAAAGAGAACAAACTTATTCTACAAGAGAGGTAGGTATTTTCATTTGCTCAATGGCATTTTAAATCTGGTATTTTATTAGGTGTGACACCACTGGGGTTGCCAACTTTTGTAGCCTGAATGAAAAATTAGATGGCCCCCAACCTGGGGTAGCAAGTGGAAGAGGGTGCTGACATTTGGCAAAATTTGGTGTTTGAGCAAAAAGAGTCAGCATAGTGATGCTATAGGGAATAACTGGGTGTGACAGTTTGCCAGGACCACTGTCCGATAAAATGACTCCTGTGATGAAAAGGCATAAAAGTAGACCATGTAAGAAGGTTTGTACAACCCTTCTGGAATGATAAACCCACTCATCTCGAAAGAGGGATAGCAAAGAAAATAAAGGTAAGAGGAATAGTTTCTGGTTTTGCTCAATCCATGAGACATTGTCAATTTACTGTTCATATCAAAATTTCACCCACATGTCACCAAGAAACACAGATGATCAATATTTTTTAAAAGACCTTTCAAGGTTCTTGTAGAATTGCATCACATTTCCTAAAATAAATCTTTTCAGGAATAAAGGGAAATTTCTCTCTTAAGAGTGAGAAACAAAGTCTCTGTGATTATGAAATTCCATAGAGCTGTATTAAATACCAAGTCATAAAGAAAGCTGGCCCTCTCATGGCAGCATCTCCAGGTAGCTGCATCTAGTGGGAAAATGAACAGGAAACGTAATCTACACTATAAAGTAAATCCTAATACCGAACCAGTTAGTATACTTCCTAATATCCCTACCAGTGACTTTGCTTTAGATCTTTAGAAAACTTATGTCCTGAGGAACTTTGTTCATCACTACCACAAAATTGCACTGTTTTCTGCTTATTGTCTTCATTTTGGTCTACTTACACACAAAACTACGATCGTTCACCTAGTTTTCACGTGTAAGTCAATTTTGATGCCTCCTCAAACCAGGTGAAATGAATTGCTAACATTTACTGAGCGCGTAGACTATGCCAGACTTGCATTGACTCCTCTAATTAATCACTTAGACTCCATAGGTCTGTCACAGAAGAAATGATGCCTCAGTGAACAGTAGGCAGAAAAAGAGAGTGGTTTGAACAGAAGGAAAAGCCTTTAAACATCCACTTTAAAAGATAATGAGCTTATTCTACCTCCAAATGCATCAGTAGGAGTTAACATAAAATAGGAGATTTTAGTTAAATGTCCATGCAGGTATAGGCACAAAAGATCATTGCTTAAAAATAAGCTTATTTGAATCATTGTTCTTTTCCTTCAGATTTAGCCGTGTATTGAGTGATTTTTTACCAAAAGCCTTGTTCAGTTTGGAAAATTGTAAAGAGGAAACATTTTTTTAACCTTAGCATGCACATCACACATAACTTCCTTTCATATCCCTCCCGGGGTCTCCAGATGCCTCCTTTCACCTCTAATCTAAACTTGTTCCCCTGGAAAAGGGCTAAAACTCATTTACACCAAGATTCAAAACAGAAATAGGAGGATTTCACATTGCATGATTATTTGCATCGTATCTGGGATGAGAGTCCTCATGAGAGTGGCCATGGTGCAATTTAGCATCAACAAGATGGGATGGATGACCCCGTCACTTTGGAGTAGCTGCTCTGATGTAGTTCGGTGAGCAAGTTCATCACAGGGGGAGGATGTCTTGGTCCTGTCTTGGTGTAGCCTGTGGAGGTCCCAGGACAAGCACATGGCTGGACACCCTCCTTGTAGCTCTCTTCTACTACCGCATGCCAGAACATAAGCAGGTGGGATGCCCCTCAGAGAAAACGTTGAGACTGACTAATTCCGATGCACAGCTCCCTGAGCATCCTCATGGTCCCATCTGCTGGTGTCTCCCTGGGTCGTGTGCACCCCAAGTCCACTGGCTCTGAGCCAGCACGGCCACAGGAATTGCCGGAGGACTGCAGCCCTTGTGGCCCCACTGCCTTATGAATTTAGTCCAGGCCCCAGGCTGCTCTTTGTCTGCCAGCAGTGGGGCTAGTGGGAACTCGGACTTGAGGGTCGGGGGAGGACTTAGGTGGGAGGATTTCCCTTTGGCTGGGCTGGTCAAAATGCTCCCTCTGTGGACAGCAGCAGAATTCTGCCCTGTGCTGTGCTTCCCTGTGCCAGGGGATGGGCTGGTGTAGGCAACGCAAGGTCATCTTTCCTGCCCTCTTCAGTGCCTCCTTCCTTGGTATAATGTTAAAACCAGGTGGTCTGATCACTCACCTGGTTTTTGGTTATTCTGAAGGTGCTCGCTTGTGTGGATAGTTGTTGAATTAGGTGTTCATGCAGAAGGACAATTGCTGGAAGTTTCTATTCGGCCATCTTGCTCCGCGCCCAGACTCAAATGCCCATGTATTTCTTGAAATGGTGAATTTCTGTATGCCCATGTTGAATAGGTCTGCTGTCTTTCTAGTCAATGTGGTTTGGATTTCTAAGTTACTACTTAGTAGCTACTACTTACTGCCAGCTACTTACTACTACTTACTAGCTACTATTTACAACTACTAAGTTGCCACTTAATAGCTCCAGAATTGTAGAAAAAGTCAATTATCCTTCAAGAGTTACAGTTTCCTAACCTGCAAAATGGAAATGGTAATACCCATCTTGCAGTGCTATTGTGTAGACTAAATGAGATGATGTATTAAATATTTAAAGTATATAGCATAGTGTCTACATTCCCAATGCTCAATGGCTGTTTTTCCATCATTTAATAAAAAAATGACATCCCAGTCATGGCTCCCTACAAGGACCCATGTGGATGTGTTGCTAAGGCATGTTAAGCATCTTAAGAACATAGTCTATAAATACAAAGCATTATTGTGACTCAGCTACATTCTTGGCTAGGTAAAATGTCTTGGTTCAGAGTCCAAAAAATGAACTTTTGTTTGAAAATGTTACACTATGGATTCCTGTTTCGATGCTTAAGAAGCTGACCCACTGGTTTTGTCATGAGTCAGAAAAAGTGTTTTTCCATCTACTTGGAACTAGGTGTATACAATTATTGATAAAAATCTACTTTTTTAAAAAAAAAATCTATACTTGTCATCACTGAGCAACACAAAACATAGGAAAAATATTTTTTTAAAAAATTCTGAATTCGGCTGTGTTCACCAGAATATGGAGAGTAAACTAACATTTTACTCTGCCAAGCATCTCCCCAAAGATCCACAGAGCCACAGCTGTGATGTGTAAGGCAATGGGCGATCCTCATCTTTTATCTTCAGGAACACTAGCATTAGTATCACCTGGCCACTAATGAGGCCCCTGTGGAGCTAGAATAAGAGCTGTATTATTGAGAAGAAAGAGATACAAATTGATTGAGAATATGTACCCTTTTGACCCTGATTAAGGGGCTATGACATGGGTCCTGAAAGAAGAGGATGGGATTCCTAGAACAACTTCATTTCACACTTTTGCTCTACTTTTTTTTTTTTTTTGCTGAGACAAGAGTCTCACTCCATCACCCTGGGTAGAGTGCAGTGGTGTCATCATAGCTCAGTGCAACCTCAAACTCCTGGTCAAGTGATCCTCCTGCCTCAGCCTTCCGAGTAGCTGGGACTACAGGTGTGTACCACCACACCCAGCTAATTTTTTTCTATTTTTGGTAGAGACAGGGTCTTGCTCTTGCTTAGGACTTTTGCTCTGAGCTGAACTCAGTGTTTAGGTAGACTGTGCAGCTGTATAACTATGTGAAACTATTTGTGACTATTCACTCATTCCATATTGAGTTTTGCTAGGCACTGAGACATTCCAGTCCCTTAAATGAGGGTCTCATCGGCTTTGAATGAGCAGTGTATCACTGGTGTGGTGTAACATGCACTGGGAAAAAACGAGGAGGGGGGATTCATTCTGCCCAGAGGAGTTTCAGCGTGGAGCCGGGAGCAAGCGTAGGATTTTCACAGGCAGTCCGGGAGGTTAGGGCATTTTAGGCAACAGAATCTGGCTCTGGCAGCTGGGCCCCAGACCTCATAATATGTAGTGTGGCCTCTCATGATTTCATTTTTAGTCAGCTTAAGACATTTTAATTTAATAAATCAATTGTGACATTAGTAAGGGTTATGTTTAAAGTGTTGTCTAACTTAATTTACTGGTTTATTTTACTTTGAGACAGGTAGTCTTTGATGAACCAAGATAGAGGATAGCTACTCCTCTAATTGCACAAGCATGTACCAATCAAGTGTGCTTTCAGCCCAGCTGAAATCTGTAATTAGACAAAGATTTGAATGTCCTTAGAAGGTTATGTATTACATCGGAGAGCACCTCATGCCATATTAACATTCCCATTTCCATAACTTGTATTCAAGAGAACTGTGTGTTCAGATTTATGTATGATATTATTGGAGTAAGCTTAAGAGGGAAGAAACCACTTTCAAAGTGATTGATGGTATATCTGAAGAGTGGAGATAAGGAAAAGTTTATTCTTATGTAATAACATTGGATACCGAAGTAAAATTTCCTCTTGGACTGCTATTTAGCACTGTTGGATTGCAGCAGTAAGTGAATTTGGCCAACCATTTACCCTTTCACTCAAGCATCAATTTTTTAGAGAAAAGACCCATACAGAAATCCTCTTCCCAGTGCCAGCTCTCTATAACTGAAGCTTTGGCAGGACAATGGATAAACTAGACCGTCGAAATAGTGGCTAATGGAGGCTGGGAATGTGTGGGGAATGGGATCTCCATTCATACATAGGAGTAATGAAGATGCATTAAGTCATAACAGACAATTCATTCAACAATTATTTATGCCCTGCTATGTGCTAGGCAGCATTCCTGCCCATGTGGGTCTTACCCTCTCATGAGAGAAACAGACCATGAAAAGTAAGCACGTGTCTCAATTGCAAGTTGAAATTAGTGCTCTGAGGAAAATAAACATGGAACCATTTTGCAGAATCCAAAGTAGAAGAGGTTCATGTAGAAAAGGTGGTCAGAGGAGCCCTTTCTTAGGAGGCAGCATTTATGTGCATGACTAAAGAATTCTAGGAAGCAGGTAGGTGAAGGGGCATGATGAGGGGGGAGTAATG